ACATTACTGGAATAAAAGATTCCACATTAATTTCCCTTTGCACCGAAATGGAAGGAGTAAGTTTCCATGTTTTGATCTTTCCTCAAATATGTCTTTTGTCTTTTGGAAAGTCTTTGCTGCAGAAATTAAGACACCATTAGTTCATATGCCAAAATAACTTAGGGAATTTCCATTCACATTCTCCCCTTTTTTGGCATATGAAACCACGAATAAAAGTGCAGGAATTAACCTACTCACGCACTCAATCATCCAAGAGTGAGTCCAACTATTACATGCCAACAAACATAAAAAGGCTACAGACAGCCTTCACATTGATATGGTTGTAATCACTTCAGACTTCCAACAAAAATAGTAACAATAGATAAAATCAACAATCAGCAAAGCAGATAGCATCAGAACTTGGGCAACTCCCCCTGAAAATATGATCTCTCATTTTCCTGCATTACTCCCCCTTCGTGGGAGCATTTGACAAAAAGAACATAGACCTTCAAAAACATCCTCACTTTGCTGAGAAATTGTTGTAACAGTAACATCCATATCAACATAGGCAGCAACACCAACATGAACAGCAACAACAATTTCTGTTGATTCGACATCAGATTTGTTGCAGTAACAACTTCGCAACATCAACAATGATTTGTGCAACATCACAAGGCCTGAAAATTCTTCAAAATCCAGTGTAGGACTAAAATGTCCTCCATGTCGAATTAATCCATAACCAAAACATCAACCATGGCATCAAATCTGACTCTTGCCATTGCTCAATAAAAGTATCTTCGAAACACTTCTTCTTTTTGGATTTTTCAAAAAAATATTTTTCAAATTATTTTCATTCTCCAATATTCACCAAGAATATCTCAATCAACATAAATATATTGGAGAATTTATTAAGCACCCATGCATGCAAAATCAAGTAGGGTACGAATGCATACCCAAATGACGACCAGACTTTTCAAACCGATTTGCATCCAACGCCTTTGTAAGAATGTTTGTCTTTTGATTTTTCTTGGGCATCCACACCAAGCTGAGTTTAACATTTTTTCTGAGTTCTTCAGTAGGCCACTAAATATTTTTGTCAGTCATAATGTCCTTCGCCAATCTGAAACATTTTTCAGCAGTATGTCCAAGACATCTGCAGTATCCGCAATCATTACGTCGTGATGACATTTGTCTAACACTCTGTGCCCTGCAATTTTCATTACAATCTCTATTTTTGTTCTTCGTCAAATTCTGTTTGACCATCGGAACTGATTTGTTCTCTGGAATTTCAACATTAGCAATAAGTCCTCCCCGGACAAATGTAGTAGGTTTTCTGTGTGAGGACTCAGAAAAACCTATTCCCTTGTGATCACCAAAAGGTTTTCCAATTGAAAGTACTTCATCCAATTTCTCATTTCCCTTTCGAAGTCTATCATTCTCTTGCTTCAGCTGCACATTTTCAGCCTTCAATCTATCAGTTTCAGTTGATTTCTCATGAACATCCTTTTTCAAAATTTTAATTTCATCATCCAACTTTTCCTTTTGAGTTTCCAACCGGTAAATGGTGTCCAAAAGTTCTTTATTTTTCACTAGTGATTTTTTTTGTTCTGCCACCATCTCCTCATAGGCTTCAATCAATTCATCAGCATCAAGTTCTATGGATTCCTCTGAAGCTTTATCAGTAAAAGCACCATCATCTTTAATAGCTTCAGATTCATCGGCCATGTAAGCAACCACTTCATCATTTTCTGAGTTTTCTTCGCCTCCAACAGACCTTTCATCATCATTGTCACTCCATGTGGCTTGGTATGCTTTCTTCTCTCTTTTCTTCAACGTTGGATATTCAGATTTAATGTGAACAACTCCTCCACATCCATAGCAGGTAGGCTCTTGAACTGATTCAGACAACTTCTTCTTGAATCCACCATCGAACTTCTCTTTTGGCTTGTTGTAATTTGATGGTTTCTATTCAGAGTATTTCCGTTGTGAGCTGGAAGTACTCTCACCCTGATAATCACTTCTGTTTTGGAACTTCCCATATTTCATCTTGGTTGCTCGTTTCTCACTTATCATTCTTGAAAGTTTTTGACTCAACATAGCCATTTCCTTATCAGATTCGATCAGCTCCATGTCTTCCACACTTAAGGCCATACTTTTTGGAGTTTCATCTTCAAGATAATTCATTTCATAGCTCACCAACGTACCATATAATTCATCCAACGTCATATTTTTCAACTTTGGTGGTTCATCGAGCATAATCACCTTTGGCCTGAAATTTTTTGTGAGACTTTTAAGCATCTTCCTCACCAATCTCTTTTCTTCAAAGTGCATTCCAAGAGCTTCTGCTTGATTAACAACATCCATAAAGCGATTATAGTAAACAACGATTGTTTCGTCTTCATTCATCTTCATTCCTTCGAACAATGTCTCAACATGATCTAGTTTAGATTCTTGGACTTGCGCTGAACCTTCGAATGCATTTTCCAGAATGTCCCAAGCTTCCTTGGCAATTTTGCAGTTTGATATAAGCTTCACCTGAGTTTCATCCACATCATTAAAAATCGAAAATAGGGCCTTCGAGTTTGCTATTCCAGCAGCTTTTCCATTCAACGTCCTTTCTCTCTTTGGTTTCTTCACAAGAGTAGTAACACCATCTTCATCTTGGATGGTTTTCATAGGATGAGACCATGCACACTCAACAGCATCAGAAACGTCTTCACCTTGAAGCATCAGAAAGGCTTTTATTTTATTCTTCCAACTTTGGTAATTTGTCCCATCGAACAATGGAGGTCTTGATGTTGAACGTCATTCCTTACTCATGTCTGCAACTATGACCAAATCTACTCAACGAATTAGAGAACAACAATGCAGAACATTAAACAACAATAAGAAAAGGTGTTTGTTGACCCGGTTTGATTATCAACCAATCTACATCCGGGGGATTCCAATCCAGGAGACATTCTACTAATCAGTGTTGATTACAAAGTATAAACAATCACAACTCCTTCAACTCAAACTCCTATCATGGTCTACCTTGGAAAATACCTCCACAGGTTCATGTTGTCACAAATGCGTACTGACAACGACCAAATAGCAGAGCCGCTCAAAGTTTGATCATCCTCTCCGGTTGGAACTCCTTTAACTCCGATCACGTCGACCTCTCTGGTAAATTTTTCTGTCAAAAAGTCATTCAAACTAAGGAGAATCGATATGGATAGATGGATGAGAGCTTCGCTCAATATTCTTCTCTCTAAAGTATGATCTCCAAATCACTCATTACCAATCTTCAACCCTATCCGGTTGAGTAAATCACTCACATTCCTGAAATAAAAAATTCCACATTAATTTCCCTTTGCACCGAAATTGAAGGAGTGAGTTTTCATGTTTTGATCTTTCCTCAAATATGTCTTTTGTCTTTTGGAAAGTCTTTGCTGCAGAAATTAAGACACCATTAACTTAAGGAATTTCCATTCACAAGTTATAATATCTCTCACCGAATGAATAAAAATTGAAATCCAAAATATACTATTTTCTATAAAATCTCAAAGAAATTTGTTAAATTTTAATAATATTTGCTAAAATATATATCATATTGAGACAACAATTATAACAGTCTGACCCGCAAGCCACGCTGCCCAGGCATATCGGAATTAGACTGATCCAATAGATCAACACGAGTCATTTAGTGTTTGAAAAGGAACATGCACATTGTCGGCATGGATAATTTATTCAATTAATTTAATCTCTCTATTTACCACCGGAGAATAACATCCTCTCCGACTTCCAGAGGATCACCCATCCTAAAATTATCTAGAGCAAATATGTTTAACACTAGGTTTCCGAAAAAGAAAATGTATATTATTGATTTGAATATTTTATTTAATTCATTTAATCTTTATTCAACACCGAAACATCACAACTTCTCCTACTCATTTATTTCAACTCAGGCTATCATAACGAATGAGATAAATAATAAAATTTTGTTACATTTATTACTTATATTCATCTTTTTCATATATATATATACATTTATAATATTTTATATATTACAAGTATATTTTATTGTTATATATTACATAAAATCTATGTACATTTACATCTCGCTGTCACGGTTACAAAATCATTTTACTATATAAGTGCATATACATATTAGATCATTATCAATTTACTTCTTTTTTTTTTGTAATATTATATTTAGTTATAAATTATATTTTTTAACACTATTAGTCAATATAGTATTTTGAAAAATATATATATATTTTTATAAAATAGATATTAATTTATTTTTTTATTATTTTTAAAATTTTTCAAAATTCTAATATATAAAAAAACTTAAATGTTTTGTTTAGTATTAAAATATTTTTTTACTATTTGGACTTAATATTTACTAAAAATATTTATATACTTTTTTTATAAAGTCTAATAATATTAAATATTACTTAAATAGAAAAAATAAACTTCCAAGTTCAATCCTAGAAAGAAAGATATATCTTTAGTTTTTAAAATATGTTTTTCTATTTAATTAAGTTTTAGATGTAAATAATAAATAAAAAGACAAATTGAATTTTATTTTTTTTTCTGTAATTTGAAATTGATTTGAAATTGAGTATTATTTGAGGTCAAATAGTATTTTGACATGATATTTTGTAAGAAAAATAATATAATTTATAAAAATATCAAATAAATAATATTGATTTTAGTTTCAAATACTTTAAAAAAAAAAAAAAAGGAATAATTGAATACGAGGCCTTAATTGTAATACCCACACTCATCACATGTTTTGAATAGTATACAATCTTTTATTAATAATATATCATAATAAATTAAAAAACTAAAAAAAAAAAAAAAAACGTAAAAACTTTTACACTTGTATATTAATTTTTTAGGATTGTTTAACCCTTTATCTCTTTATTTATATACAATAATAATAAAATACTAATAATAATAATAATAATAATAATATATTGTACAGAGAGTGTTAGAACTGGGGGAAAGAGAGCCCAATTACAGTGGGCCGAAGCCATAGTTTTTGCTACCACAACAAGGGCGAGTGAGAGAAGGAGAGAGGGAGAGAGAGGGAGGGAGTGAGAGAGAAAGATGGAGGAGGAGGAGCACGAGGTGTACGGCGGAGATATTCCCGACGAAGGTGAGATGGACGCCGACGCCGACGTTGACATGCCGGCTCCAGAAGATGACGCCGCGGCGAAGGTTTCACTTTAGTACTAGTCTAGTTCTTTTCTTGTCTTTGATCTACAGTCGTTTCGGCTTTTATGTGAGCTTGATTCGATCGTGATCTTTAGGAGTTGGATGAGATGAAAAAGCGATTGAAGGAGATGGAAGAAGAAGCGGCGGCTCTTCGAGAAATGCAAGCCAAAGTAGAGAAGGAGATGGGGGCAGTACAAGGTTTGATGCCCTTGTTTTCTCTCTCTCTCTCTCACACACACACACTCATGAAAAATAAAGAATTGAGCCTGTGAAGTTTGTTTGATATGTCCTCTTTTAGTTACATCGGTAACCCTAGCTGTAGTAGTATTGGAAAATCGTTTCTTTAGATATAATGTTCGGGAGATGTACAGTGTTGTACACTCACATGAAATGGGGGCTGCTTATGCTTAGGGTTTCAGAGGGTATCAAGAATGAACTTTCTAACTTTGATGCATTGACTGTTCCTCATACAATGTATGTGAGTGATGGTGCTAGTAGTTGTAGAAAAATTGTTGATGAAACAGTGGAGAACCATGAGGCTTAGATAAGTAAAATGTGGATGAAATAGCATAACAATTGTTAATTATGAGTAGATTTGACTTGCAAGAACTCCGAAAACAAGGCACCTAATTCTTAGTTTCCATGTAATTTTATGGACTTGCAGATCCTGCTAGCGCTGCTGCTGCTCAAGCAAGCAAGGAAGAGGTGGATTCAAGATCTGTCTTTGTTGGAAATGTGAGTACGTAGAGCAATGAACCTAAGAAGCCTTTGATGGTTTGTTTTATTATCGGTTCACTTTCTAAGACATTATCTGCAGTGAATGGTGCTGGTAAACATATGGTGCTCTGTGAATTGTTATTGTTTCTACACTTTTGAATATGCATATACATATACATACACATTCAATCATTCTTTTATCTTCTATGCTGCTTGTTTTGTTTACTAGCTGCGATGTGATGGAATGCTTTATGTGCCTTAATGCCTTATGTCGCATGGACTGGGAAATGCTTGGCCTTGTTCTGCCTAGATAACTAAATGGCAGAACCATTTTCTATCAACCCTGCTAGTTTCTCATTTGTTTTACTGGATATGCTGTCTTGTGTCATATTTGCGATTTGCAGATTCTTTCTGTCCCATCTTATTTTCTTGTATTCTCTGTATTTTTTTGTCTTACAGATTTTACACATTTACCTCACAATTTTACTGTAAAACAAAAATACTATGCTTGCTAAAAATATGTTTTGAGATGTATGGAATATACACTTAATGCAAATATTTGATCTGAAGTATTATGCACTGTTATTATTTATCATTTGTATTCACCTTATTGCCCTTACCCATGTCCGTAGCATTTCCCATGAAAGTGAAATGGGGATCTTTCATCACTAGATCGATTTGTTGCTTGGTTGTGATCATAATTTTGAATGATGTGTATGGTGCTCCATAGTACACCCCTTGATTCCACTAAGTCAGTCATCCGCATGGGATTTGAACAGCCTAGATGTAACCCTTGCCCATGTGCATGGTGCACTGCTGTGCACAGTTCTTTTCTGTTTTATTTTTTATTATATTTTTTTTTTTTATATATCTATTTAAAAAAGTGGAAACAATCGATAAAAGCCTTACACAATTTTCATTCTTAATGTATATTTAGATCGACTTTCATTATTAACTTTTGATAACATTATTTTTATACCCTTTTTCTTTTTTACTTTCAGTTCTTTTATTTATTTAAGTCCATGCAATCCTATTGTTATCATTTTCTTTTTCCTTGTATTAAGATTCATTCCCTTGCATTATTTATTATGTTTTCCCATTTTATGTGTGGGTTTGTAATGATTGTTGTTATTTGATACACTGATGAAGGTAGAAGTTGTAACTTTTGTAGTGTTTGCTAATTATTATGCAGGATTTACTGTGTTACATCATGTAAAGCTAAATCATAAATATAAGCATATATTTTTAATTATGTAAACAGTGCCATGCTTCAGTAAGCCATGCACTGCACATGAATAATGGCTATAGAAATCCCCTTTTTGTTGCAACTATAATTTTGATAACCAAGAGTCAGCATTTCTGTGAAGTAATATCAAGGAAAATTGGTCCTAAAGAATGATCACTTAGAAAAAACCAAAGCAGGTAATAGAAAATGAAGGAAGAATGATATAATGAATGAGGTCAACATGCTGCAAAGAAGTGATAATTTGTACTTTTCATGCAATGGATATAGTGGTTTCAATTCTTCCTTGTGCATTTGAAGTTAAAAGACGGGTGAAAAAAGGCGCCTGATGATTTGAGGTGTTTTCCTGAGGCTAGATAAGACATGATTCAAGATGTGTAATACAGTGATTCTATAGTTCACTACTACCTGAAGAACCAGGTTCTTGAATCAAGGGATCTTTCTCTTTAATATAATCCATCTGTTGCTGTCTGATGTCATAAATGCTATTGTTGATGTTTTGAATGTAGTATGTTGTTTCATACTGATGGTGAAGGATTTCTATTTGTTTGTTTGTTTGTTTGTTGCATTTCAGTTATAACATTCTGAGAGAAGTGAATAAACCTTTAGTTGAATATTGCATGGAGGCGGTGGTTTATGTTATTTGTCACTAAGTGAATATCATGTGGCAGGTGGATTATGCTTGTACTCCGGAGGAAGTTCAGCAGCATTTTCAATCATGTGGAACTGTAAATCGTGTGACTATTTTGACAGACAAGTTTGGCCAGCCCAAGGGCTTTGCATATGTTGAGTTCCTCGAACAAGAAGCTGTTCAAGAAGCCCTCAATCTGAATGAATCTGAATTACATGGCCGTCAATTGAAGGTTGAATAAATTAAATATAATATCTACGAATAATGTTAACTATTTCACTTCATTAGAAAATTTCATCATTTAGCCATTTATGTAGTTGCTTTTCTTACTAGATACGTATCTTTACAGGTTATGATGAAAAGGACCAATGTACCTGGAATGAAACAGTTTCGTGCGAGGCGGTACAATCCTTACTTTGCATATGGATACAGGAGGCCTTATGCACCACCATATTTCTATCCTCCCTATGGTTATGGGTGAGCTTTTCGATTTTCCCTTACACTTGTTAATCCAATATCTAACTAGGCATTGTTTGCGAAGCTGCAATTTTCTTCTTCTAGTTAAAAATCTTAGTCGTAGGTGCTTTTTGCGGTGTCCTAAAAAAAAAGAAAAGATGTGTAACTGATATTTATATTATAAGACAAATCCTATCCTTATTTCTATATTGAAAAGGAATATATTCAGAATATACGTTTTATTTTCTTTGTTTCTCTAGAATTTACATAGGTGTCCTCTTCTTCGCCTTGTCATTCCACACAGTGCATATAAATCTTTTTTCTATCTTTGTTTCTAAACAGCAAGGCTCCAAGGTTCAGGCGGCCATCGCGCTACATGCCTTATTATTGAAATCCCAAATTGCTGGCCTGATTGTCGAAACGCCGCATCCTCAAGTAATGGTCCATTTTCTTTCTACTTAATCTATATGGCTTACTTGCTCAATATGTGCCATTGGCTGGCGATGATCATAGTGTTTTATGCCTTGTGTGTCCTTTTAATCCCTGGTGGTCCTATTCCTATTATATTTACATGCGAACAACTCAGAACCTATTTATCTTGCAAGGTCTATACCCATTTGCTGAGGTTATGGTGACTCTTACTTAATAATTTACAGCATTATATAGTTAAGACATCTCTTGTCCTTCGACTGCTCAAACTTAGCCGTCTTGATTAATTCTACGGCATCTATGGTTTGTGGTATGTTATAACATGGTATTTTAGATGCTTTGTCTGGATGTCTAGTCTGTGAAATATAACAAAATTAGTTGACTTTTATGTTTATTTCCATACTCATTATTGGATTTTTATTTTTCTTGAAAAAAAATTCCTTCACATCTAGTCTCTTTCCATTAGAAAAGAAAGTATTGCATCTCAACATCCATTGTCATGTAAAAGTTTTCAAATTCAATACACTAAAATAAAAATTAACCAACATTTGTATGAATGCTGAGAAAGAATTGCATAGAATGTGAGTTGATTATTTTTTGGTAGTTTTATATGGTAGAAGATGGTGGATTAGTAGGTATTAATGGATTGCTATTCATAGGGCAGGTATATAATACTCCTTTATATCCTGAATGTTGATTAATGCCCCTTCGGTTAGAGCGTTTGCTGCTGCTGATCGGGGATTTATCGACACCATGTTGATTGCGCTAATCTAACACATGAAATATAACAAACAACATATTGTCATGAAGTATTAGTATGTGTGCTGAAGATTTATTTCTAATGTGCCGTCTAGTCTATATCTATGTGTTATATTTAATCGAGACCGTAACTGCTGCTTGATAAGTATTTATTTTATGTGATGAATTAGTGTGTGACATTGTATTAGTTCAAATGCTCACTCTCAAAAGTACAATTGAGAGAGAGGTTGTAATTTAATGGGGGGATTTGGCACGGTGAATGAAATTGCAGATAAACGACAGGAAAGAATAAAATTGGATGAGAGTAAAGAATTGAGTAGAGAATGAGATGAGATTAATTATCTTGTTTGGTAAAATAGATAAATCAATTGAAAAATGTAAAAGAAAATTGAATGGATCGAACAAGAATGAATGATTAACTTGACAAAAGAGAGTATCAGGTAGTAAGAATTGATGAAAAAATATTTTTGGTGATTTGTTTTAATTATAAATTATATGCTATGTTTTGTAAAAATTATATTTTAGTATATTTTTTAAAAAATTGTAAAAAATTAAATATTTAAATAATAAATTAAATATAATTTTTATAAAATTGAAATCATATAATTTTAAATAATTATAAAAATCAAATAGTACAGAAAAGATAAAACTAAAAAAAATATATATATATATACTGCAACATCATTTCTCTCCATTTATTTGGATAAAGAGAAATAAAAATAGGAAAATAAAAATAATTTATTTTCCAAAATCTATATTTTTTTACTCAAACAAACAATAAAAATTAAAAATATTTTTATTTCTCTACTACTCATTTACCAAACACACCGTGAAATGTAAATAAATCTTTTAGTGCATGGGGTCATTTAAATGAAATAAGAAATGAAAAACGTGGTTGATTGGTTTCAATTTAGTATAGCTTTAACAAAAGCAGTTACTTAACCAGGGCAAGCTTGAACAGAAAATTTGAGCTAATGATGGAACATGAATTTTGTGTGTTTGTTCGGGGTTCATATTTTAAATATACTATTCAATTCTATTTTTTTTTTCCTAAAAATATCAAATCAAACACCTATTTTTTTTTTTTTATATTATACTAAAAATCAATTTTACATTTAAAATATCACATTAACGCCTATTTATATTATTATCATATAACTATTCAAATTCAAAATTTTTACTATTTAAATTCCAACTCAAAATTCAAACCCCCAAACAAAATATATGCGCCATAATGCATTTAATATGGTTTGAATGCTGCTATGGGTAGGGATGTCAATGGGACAGGTTCGAGATGGGTTCTGCAGGCCCCGAGACCCGCCCCGCTAGAAAATATTAGGCTCCAAGACCCGCCCCGCCTTGCTTCCACCCAGCCTCAGGATCCGCCCCACCCCAAACCCTCGGGGCCAACCCAGCAAACTCGTTTTTTTTTTTTAAATATATAATAATAAATACTTTTTTAACAATCGAATACTAAAACAAATAGCATTAAAAGCGCAAAAAAAAAAAAATCTAAAAACAATCAAATATTGATCCATAAAAATAAGATAAATAAATAAATAATATATTTTTATTATATAAATATACATATATTAGGTATAATAATTTTAAAAAATTATTTGGAGCAGGCGACTAATTGAATTTTATATTTAAAATTATTTAAGTAAATAAATAATATATTTTTATTATATAAATGTACATATATATTAGTTATAATAATTTTAAAAAATATCCGGGTTCGGGTCTGGGTCCGGGTCCGGATTGGGGCGGATTTTTAGTAAAACTCGTAACCCGCCCCGAACCCGGCCGGGTTTAAAATTTTAAATCCACAACCCATCCTGTAACATATTATTTAGACCCGAACCCGTCCCATTAAGAGTGGATCCGGAGCTAACCCGTGCCATTAGCTAGGGTGTAATTTTAATACATTCAAGATGTTCTTTTATTTTTTTATTTTATTTTTTTTTCTTTTTCTAATAATATATTCAATATTTTCATATAAAACATGCATACAACAATTATTTTATTTCAAACCATGACTTTGCTGAGATAGATACACACAATGCATAATTTCGGGAAATGTTGTAGATTGGGGGTGTTTGGCAATTTCCATACAGATTTTTTTTATTATTTTTTTTTTCAAATAAGCTAAATAACTAATTTAAATGTTTGATAAATTATTTTTTTGAAATAGTTTATTAAATTCAAAAAACCTAATTTTTGAAAAATTATACTATCTCCATCGTAACTCCGCATTTAAGAGTTTTTTCAGTTTTTTTTTTTTTTTATTCTTTGATTTGTCCTTGAAAAAGTATCACTTACTTCACTAATGTAAATATATTTAGTATTGTAATAGTTATTAATTATTTTAATATATTTTATTTACTAAATTAAAATTTTATTTTTATAAATTTAAAATAATTAATCTTTTATATAATTAATTTTATTTGTAAAATATATAATAAATTTATTAAAATTAAATCAAAATAGAAAACATCAACATTATTAATTTATATATATATAATTGTATATTAAAAAATAAATAAAATAGCGGTTGTATATTTTGTTTTATCAATTTTCATCATATTCTGCGATTTATCTTTTTTTTTAAATCAAATAAAACATTTTTTTTTTTTTTTAATATTATACTAAAGAATGAATTTGACGTTGAAAATATCAAATAAATACTTATTTATTTTACATTATACTATAACTATTTCAATTCAAAATTTTGATTATTCAAATATCAAACTAAAATTCAAATCCCCAAACAAACACTTTTTTTATAATAAAATAATTAATTAATCAATAATTAATATAATAAATATAAATTTTATTATTTTACATTTTACATTATTCTTAATAAAAGTATTAATATTTTAAACAAAAATATATTATTTTTCTTAAATCTAAAAATAATAAAAATAAATATTTAATAACGCTTTTACAATTTCAAATAACTAATAACAAAAACTCTCAAAATTTCTCAATTTAAAAGAATATAAATGAATATTTTTTTAAAAAATAAAATATAAATATCTTAAATTGTTATTTTACGTCTAAATATCTAATATTAAACAGTTGCAAATATGGCATCTTTAATCCCAACTTAACCATCTTCAATTAGATGAATATGGCAAATATGCAAACCTAAGTCTCACATTGAAATTTGTGAAAAAAAATTCACACCTTATAAATCTCAAATAAACTCCACTTAAATATTGATTTTTTTTTTTTTTCACAAATACTTCTACTTTACCATTACATCATTAATTTTACACATAAAATTATAGGCAAAATTATTTTTACATTACTTTTAACTAGTCACTACAATTAAGATACTATTAATTATTAAAGTTTGCGCCGAAAGTAAATATATACTCTACCACCGGACTAGAAGGTATTAATCAATGAATATCATGACAAACTTGAGCATATTAAAATAAGATAATATCATAAATATTTATAGAAATAAACCAATTATATAGAAAATAATAATAATAAATAATACTACTTTCGTCCTGCTCTAAGCATCCAATTTATTTTTTGCGTCTTGATAATTGAGTATTAATTATTGTATGAAAACGTGGTAAAAATTAAGAAAAAATGACATAAATACTTCTATTAATGTCTTATAATACTATTGTAGTGACATTTGTGCAAAAATTTATACAAATATAATGATATTTTTAATGTTAAGTCCAACGATGCAAAAGGTAAATGAGATCCTTAGAGGCAAACGGAGGGAGTAATATTTTTGTCATCTAAAAATAGATTTATTTTTATTCTGTCAGTCACTTTTAAAAATATTTCATTTTTTAGTTTAAAATTATAAGTATCAATTTTATTTTTTTTAAAAAAAATATATATAAAAGATAAAAAAAAATTAAAAAAAAATATTAGAATTCATAGCCGTTACAACAACATTTATTGTGGTTTTTTTTTTTTTTTAACAAGGATTTGACAACTGAGTTGCATGTGATGAGTTTAGTGATTGTGTAAGTTGTAAATTATAAAAAATATATTTTGGTCTCGATACAAATATATATACATTTTTTAATTGATTATAAATAATAGTATTTTATTATTTAATAGAAATATGTAAAATAATTTTTAACAAATTTGTTCTTTTCGTATAAAAATACTTTATAAAAATTATAAGTATTTAAATATTTATATATAAATTATTTTTATTAAAATAAAAAAATAAATATCTTCAAATATAAGAACGATAGTTAAAATAATACTTTCAATTTCAAAGATGGGTTGATTTAAATTTACATTTTAATGGATTTAAAAAATTATAACTCACCCATCTTAAAAGATGGGGTGAAATCAGCTAGCCCAACAAACTCAAGCCCTTTATAAGTAAGTTATTTTGTGTGTGTGTTTTTTCAACAATTATGAAAAAAATAATATATATTAAAAATAATGTGTTTTGAAAGTGAACAAAATTTATAATTCTTTATTTAAATACTTATATCTATCATATCAAACATATTTCAATTCAAATTATTATTACTCCTAAATGCATGCTAAATCTAAATTTGCACTTTAAAAGAGCAAATGTCAATTTTATATAGTTATATTTGTATTCAAACATTGCATAAGTATTCATCTTGATAAGCATATTTA